AGGGGGCTTTGGGAGGAACGATGTGAGAGTTTGTCCCCCTCCACCCCCCTTTTTCCACTCTGGCCGGTCTTCTGTCTTCACAAGCTCTCTTGAGCTGATCCTGGGGCTCTTGTACCCCTTTCACAACCCTTAAGCACAATAGGGCCTGTTTGGGTAGAAATGGCCTATGAGGGATATGGACATTAGAGGCCCTTGAATGAACACACTGAGCACATGCATCTATTTACTATTCACGTTCTGTGGTAAGCAGAATAACACCAAAGCCCTCCCTCTGTGTCCACATTCTAATTCCTGAAGCCTGTGAATATTTTTACCTTATTTAGCAAAAGGGACTTTGCAGATATAATAGGCTGAAGCTCTTGATATGAGAGATCATCCTGGATTCTCTGGGTGGGTCTAGTCTAATGACAAGGGTCCTTGTAAGTGACAGAGGGAGGTAGGAGAGTGGGTGTCAGTGTTGGAGTTGAATAATGGTATGTGGTTAGCTTTACATGAACGAAGGAGTTGCAAGCCATGGAATGCAGGCGCCTATAGAAAACGGGGAGGGCAAGGAGCGGGTTCTCTCCCAGAGCTCCCAGAAGGAACCAGTGCTGCCAACACATTGATTTTAACCCTGTGAAACCTTCTGACCTCCCAAACTACAAGGTAATAACAAATTTAGGTGATTTGAGCCACTTACTTTATAGTACTTTGTTACAGTACCATTGGAAACTAATGCACATTCCAAGCCAATCATTCTATCATTTGATAATAGACATTGGAGTGAAAAATGAAAAACAACTTCATCAGCCTTCTTCTTTAGAGGTAGTCTACCAACTGTGGGAAGGAATATAGCTGGTGAGAGGGGACTGAACTTTGTAGCCTCACTCAAGTCGCTAGGGCATGGCTATAACTGGGTTTCACTTTATTCATCATGATGCTATATATCCACTCCTAGTCATCACTTTACACCTTCCAGAATAATCTTCTGAAACCAGAAATCTAATCACATCGTTTTTCTGCTTTAAACTTTCAATACTTTTCGTGTACGTTGCCTGCAAGAGAAGGGGTGAATCCCTAGCCTGATCTACTAAGACCCTCTGTGATCTGTTCCTGACTAAGCCACTGCAATAACACAAACACATCTTCTCCGCCACACCCCTGAGGCCCTAAGCTCCATCCATAGCAAGTACTTACAGGTCTTTGCATGCTGTGACTTCTCATGGTTCCTTGTTTTCATTTGAATGTCCTTGTAGATTAGCCAATATTTGACAAGCACTTGTTATTGTACTCTTTACATTTAAATGCTTCATTAAACTCCAAGTAGTAAGTGCTAGTATGATCCCCATTTTACAGATGAGAAAACTGAAGTACAAAGCATTTAAGTAACTTGACAAAGGCTACATGCCTAAAAAGTGGAAGACCAGAGATACTGATCTGGGGACGGGAGTGCAGTGCAGAGAAGAGGGAAACGAGGAGGGGGGACAGCTCACGTAAGGGCATGTCAGTGATTGGTTACGTCCTTGGAGTTTGATCCTGCTAGACCATTTCAAGCGGCAGACACATGTTCTTGGAGTTGTCCACCTGAGGATTGATAAGTATGGCATGTATCCACTGCTTTCCATTCCCCACGGGATGAGGCTCACCTGCTAGGGGTGTTAAGCACCCTCCATATCTGGTGGCATAGGGGTTGTGCCAGCGACCTGGACTACACCAGTGTCTATACACTGACACTGGGAAACCTTTAGAACTCGAGAATCCAGGGCAGAAAGCTCAAGGTCCCTGTCACACACAAGATGTAACACACTGCCATGGAAGCCCTCACCAAACTCTCCCACAGCTCAAATGAGAATCAGAGATAAGGCAGGAAAACAAGAAGTACAGTATGGTGGGCTTCTGATACTGTGCTGTAGGTTTCCTGGTAAGGTTATTACTTCGGGGGTTTCAGGTATGTGGAATAAAGCTCCACTGCAAATGTGCACAAACCCCAAAAGCTAAACTAGGCTCTTGTGATCGCTATCAACAAGATAGCAATCTAGGTTGTGTGCATCTCAGACTCCACATGCCTTTTATAAATAGTTTTAGAGACTATTGTATAATAATGGTTACAGTACATTACTTTTAATGCTTTGACCAGGGTTATTTTTATTGTTATTATTACAATTTATAGCATTCATTTACTCCATTCGTTCGGTCAGATGTCCAACATATATACTAATTACAATTTTTTGATGCACATTTTCCTGAGAAAAATAAATTAACAAAGGACAAAATGCACAGTTATCTACTGGAAAGAATCCAAATATTCTGCGACTGGCACCTACCACATTAGAAGTTCTGCTTAATGCCATCCACAAGACCCAATTTTATTAAAAACACCCATTGTAGAAAAGGGTGGGTTGGAGGAGACCAGAAACGAATGACATTTTGAATGTGGTTGATCTAATATCATTGGGTAGGTTTACCTTTCATTCATTCTCTGAGTGTAGAAAGAGGTGCATTCAGATGAAGCAAAGGAAAATGCCTTCTCATGACAGCTAACTATGAACCAGGTTAGAGTCAGAGGCAGCAAATTTGAGCAGAATTCTCACAGGCCTAGACAATAGTAGGACGGCTGATGAGAACTGCAGGTGACAAAGGAGAGTGACCTGGTGAGCAGGCTTCTGAAGAAGAGGTGCTCGCTCCGCTGCCCAGTCCGGCTTTGCTGCCTGAGCAAATTCCCGCCGGAGGCTGTGGGTATGAAAGGCCACGTGGACAACCGGGTGCTCTTGTTTCCATGAAGGAAAACATGAAGAATTATTTAGCGGTCTGACTCTACAGGAATTCTGTGGTGCCCCAGTCTCTTAAAAAAAGATTATTTTCAGAGTCTATTTGTTTCACTGCTGGAGATCAGGGGAGCAAGATATAAGAACTGTTTGTCAACTCTCAGGCAGAGAAATCACTAATTCATTTATTTCTGGGGTCAGGGAACCTGGTCTCCTTTCATCAAAAGGAAATTACTTCACAGAGAATGTGCTGTCATTATAAGCAGGATAGAAATTAAACAGCACCGAATTTGCAAGCCGCTCATTTGCTTCTGTTCTTTAATTGATTTTTGAACTGGAGCTCACTTGCTAACTTTCTGCCTAGAAGTTTAGAACTAGCTTCCTGTGTATGATCACAGGAATAATCAAGTTACATTTTGTTTGTGATGAAAACACACACACACACACACACACACACACACACACCTCTATTCACAAATCACCTTTGCCTTGAAGATTGAACCTAAACTCAAGCCAGCAAAATGTGTGTCTAATATACACTATGTGCTAGATACTGTGATGGATGTTAAGGTAAAAGAAAGATGTGGTTCATGCCCTGGAGGGTGAACTGTCTCTTCTGTAAGAAAATAACTCAGAATAAGAAATCAATTCATTCACTTAAGGATTCACTCAACAAATACGTGCGAAAGGCCTGTTAAGGGTTGAGCTGTGTTCTTCCCACGTTCACATGCTGAAGCTCTGACTTCTAATGTGACGGCATTTGGAGATAGAGTCTTTAGGGTGGTAATTCAAGCTAAATGAGGTCATAAGTGTGGGACCCTAATTCAATAGAACTGCTTCCCTTAGAAAGAGACAGCAGAGCTTTCTCTCTCCTTCTCCACAGCCCATAGGAGAGTCTGTGTGAAGACACAATGAAAAGCAAAAAAGGTAAGTCTTACTAGAAACCAACTTACTATCATAACCTCCAGAACTATGAGAAATAAATTTCTGTCGTTTAAGTCAACCAGCCTGTGGTGTTTTGTTATGGCCAATGAACAGACCAACACAGGACCCATTACGTGCGGGGCGCTGGGCTTGGTGCTGAGGGGGCAGCACGAACACAACGTGGGTGGTTCCTGTTCTCAAAGGATTTCTTTCTAGTGGAGGAAGGTTAAGCGTAATGAATTTTTTCAGAGCAGAAAATAGAGTTATCTGTGGAGAATTTGTGGAAGGAATATGGTTTATTTTAGAAGTCAAGAAAATTCTACAGATTTATTTTTTAATTTTCAAGTATAAATGCAAAGTTAATGAAGGCTGGGATTAGGGAAGGTCAGTCAAGGTAGCGGCAATAGTCCATGAGAGAGCCTGATGGCAGGAGAGGCCACGGGGCTATTTTGATACCCTGGGACGTGGCCAGCGTGACAGAACTTAGCTGGCAATGGAGAGAGGTAAGCACAGACTCCTGAGGCCAAGTTTAGAAATGTGATTCTTAGAGCTCGGGAGGGATTCTAAACAAGAGAAAGGCATGAAATCGGAGTGTATGAGGGAACTCTAGGGGTAGGTAAGTACATCAGGAACAAGAAGGCTCTCAGACCCTAATGGTTGTGACAGCCTAAAGCATTGTTTCCTGAGGCTGGACAGAGTGTGCGTAAAGATGATTTTGGGGAGAAATAGTCATTTTTGTATGCCTAGAAGGATCTATTCCTTCGGCATGATTTGCAACTGTACTTTCTGCAGCCTGCTAGGAATAAAGTGTCTAAATTATTTCAAAGAAAGGTACTTCAGGTGTTTGTGGTTTTAAGGCCGTCAGATGCCACACTGACCCTACCAAAACGAACCATTCAAAATGCAACGTGTTGAGAGACATGTATAACTGAATCATTCACTTGGAAATGTCTTTCTTTACTCTTGGCTATAGAAATGGTTGGAACTGATAAATGGTGTGCTAGAGAATTTAGTTTGTTGGGGTATATCCATCTAGTAGGTGTCAGCAATCACACTCCCCTGACAGGGTTCGGGCCCACACCTCGGAGCAAGCTTCTCCTGCAGCTGAAAGTGTTGATGGGAAGACAATCAGTTATGGGGAAGCCTGGGTGTTACAGCCAAGTAGTCACACACTCAGCATGAATGTCATTCTGCGCTCCAGAAGGGAGCTTAAGGAGATTATAAAAGGTTTGGGTTTGAAACTGTGGCTATAAAAAGGGGTGAGTGTGGGAAGAACAGGGGAGAAAAACACAACAGGCTGCCAGACACTTGGTAGAGTTTAGACAATTAGTTCCTCATTCCCCCATGCAGCTAAGCCAACCCAAGCTAAGCACTCAAAACATTCTTCTTAATGCCCTGTGAGTTTCACAAGAGTGACTTTCTGGAACCAAATCAAATGTTTCTATAATTTCCTTGACTTAGTTTTCTTTTGCTTGTGGACCATATTCCCGTAGTTGCTACTTTGCCTTGCTTCATCCACCACATAGCACATCAGAGACTATTTTATACAATTCCTGTTAGATCTGCAAACCGTAAACCTGCAGAGTCATAGCATTTCCCCTGGTGGTTGATATTATGTTTGCTGATTTCTTTTTCTCTCTCTGGAATGTCCAGTTGGGCTTGAACTGAAGTCTCCTCTCGGATCTGAAGCATGGAGTCTTGTGTACCTGCATTCCACCAGCAAGCTCTCCTTGGTGACCAGTGGAGACTCCACCAGGAGAGTAAGTGCAGGGTATGTTCCAGAGGGCTCAGGAGAGTGAAGGCAGGAGACAAGTTTGCCCTTTGACTGCAGAGAACAGTAAATTATCTTGGCTCACTTTAGCCCCATCTGCAATATTTGGCACTCTAAAATAGAAAATGGCTAGAAAACCTGGTATCTGGGAAACTGAATATTCTCTAAATGCAAAAACTGAGGAGATTGCTAAATAAAGACAGATATGGTAGATGAATTGTTTCAAGGTGGATTTGTCATTCATCAGTGTAATATTTAGACAACCTCTCTGTCTCTCATTCCTTTCTCTCACTGACCTACTTTTAATTATGCCATGTGAAAAATGTACTTGGTCTTTGCAGCCATAAATTAAGTTGCTTCTTGTAACTGTTTCTAAATTTCAGGGGTAAAAGACTTGGGCTGGTCTTTGATCATGTAATACAGAAATGTCAAAACACCACAAGAAAAATAGACGAGGTGAAAGCCTGTCAAACAAAGGTTCAATTTTAGAGGGTTTCATTTTTCATGAATTCATAGCTTCTTCAGTTACAAATTGATTAGGTATTTAAAACTATATTAAGATTAACATGAAACTCTCCTAACCCTTCTATTGGGTTGCAAGGTTTCCTTTTAGCTTTCCACACTATGTGTAGAGAGGTACCGCTGAGCCTATTCACGTCGCTTGTTCTCAATTCCTCAGGCTGGAACTCCAGAACTCTGGGTCATTGGTACTTTGATTCTGGAAAGATCATTGTTTTACTTGTGCAAGATGAATGAAAGTGTTTTGCTCTTTCCTTAATGATAAGCTACATTTTCTTTGCTCCTTATGCTTTCAGGAGAGTCCCTCATCCCGCCACCCATTCCAACATTCCTTAATGCCTTTGTTTCAAATATGCATGGAACGTTTTCTTGGAAGCAAGGTTCACAGATAGTCAAACTGGTGTATGATGAAAGTGTATTAAAGCTGGGTTTAAAAAACCCACCAAAAATAGAAATGATAACTAATTAGCTTTCTTTCCCAAGCTAAAAAGCTAGCGGGGTGATCTTAGTCATAAGTGCTTCATATTTACATCCTGTTACATGCAAAGCACTGAAGTTGTAGATTTACATAATTATCTTTTTTTGTCCTCACAATAATTCTAGAAGCTGGGAGATAGGCACTGTTCATGCATATTTTACAGTTGAGGAAACTGAGCATCAGAGATGGTAAAAAAAATCTTGCTCACGGGAGTCTTAGGAAGATCGCAGCTGGGATTCATATCCATGCTGGCTTCCTATGCTCCTCTCGCCCTGCCCCCTGCCACCTAAGAAACGGCAAGGGACTGTCCTTGAGTCTGTGAGGGCTGGCAGTTGGGCCGAGGGAGGTGGGAGAGGAAGAATTATGTCTGAGACCAAGAGAAGCAGGTATTTGAATTTATACAGACTTTGGGGTAAGGTCGATGTTAGAAGAACCATCTAACCTCTTTCCCTGAGGTGTTGTTTTTTGTTTTGTTTTGTTTTTTTGAATCTGTAAAATGGGGATAATGATAGTATCCACTCATAGGGCTGTTTTTAGAATTGAATTATCCATGTAAACTATTTAACACCTGGCACAGAGAAAAATGTGTAAGCAACTCTTATTTTCTTTCTCTGCCTCCCTCTCTTCCTTCCTTCTTTTCAACATCAATCATTTATTGAGTATTTAATAAGTGCTTATCATGCACTAGTCTAGATATGAAGTTAGCAGATATAAACACAAGAGACACCTGAAAACCAAAAGATCTTAAAGCCTTAAGCTTGTCAGTAAATTGTGTAGTGATGGGATACACAATGTGTAAAAATGTGAGAAAAGTGGTCGTTGAGTAGAGTTGTCTCGGATGGAGAAGGAGATGAGAAGGCCGCTTGGAGTGGGAGGAAGAGCATGTGAAAAAGTATGTGGCAGTGGCCCGAGGCGGTGAGGAGTGTGAAGGGTGTAGTGAGCGGACATGGAAGGTAAGGCAGGCAATAGAAAAACAGGCAGTGAAGGGCCTCAGTACCTTATGTGGAGATGGTTTCACTTACATAGCAAGAGGTGTGTCCTCAGTATGTCACTGTGCAATGCCATTTACTAGTAATGACTCATTTAATCCTCATAACAACCCTATGAGGTAAATATTGTCATGACTCCACTTTACAGATAGAGAAACTGAGGTGCAGAAACTCAGGTCACCCAGCTGGTGACTGGCACAGCTGGGCTTTGAACCCAGGCAGTTTGGCTGTGGAGGCCTTGATTAACCACTTTGCTCAGGATGCTGCTTTGCAAATGTGGATCAGACCCTGAGACAGTAGGAATCTAGTCATGGATGTCAGACAGATCGGGGATGTGATTTTTTTGACCTTCAGAAAGATCGTTGTGGTGGCGTGGTAAGGTCATCTGGATGGGGGCGGGGGGACTGCAGGCAGACAGATTCATGATGAGGGTTTAATAACCTAGGAGAAAACTCATAAGGGCCATGGCAGGTGGCAAATTGGAGGGTCAGTCTGAAGGCAGACAGTGGGGTGGGGAGGAAGGAGAGGAGGGAAGAGAAGGTGAAGGTCACTCCGGTTTCCAACTCAGGTATCTGAGTAGATGGTTGAACCATTAAAGCTCAAGAATCAGCCATGTGGAAAAAGAGGGATTAGTTAAGAAAAAGCAAAATCTTCTAAATCCAGGAAATATAAAATGCACCATTAGCCATATATAATTATATGGTTTCTCAGTATGCTTGTTTGAACTCCTACCCAAACACCCACAGAGGGGATAGGATCGAATGAAAGAGAACGTATATTTAATCTAAAACAAAAAACAAAGGTCAGCAGAAACAGATAAGCTTGTTTGGAAATATGTCTCTCTTACCATGAAAATGGAACTATTTGTAGCATTTCAGTGTAGCAAGGAGGGGAAGGTGGCAAAAAAGATGGGCAGAGGGTGGGAGGGCTGGCAAGGTTGAAGCCAGGCTGAAAGACCATGCTTGCGGGACGGCCCTCCTTGCCCACAGTTGCCACTCTGTTAGGACTGGCAAGGAGAAGAAAAAGCGTCCAAAGAAGCTGTAGCAGGCAGTGAGATAGGCATGAGCAGAGCAGGAAGGATGGGTCAGATGCAAAGGGCTAGTAGGGCGGAGAGCCCCTAGTGCCTAGCAACGGGCAAAACTAGGAGCCCCTGATGACCAGTCCCTTAAGCATTAACCCCTGGAGATGACCTCTAGGCCTCAACTCTATTTCAGCTCCAGGCCCAGAGAAACAGGAAAACCAGGTGGAGTGAACACCATAGCATCAGACATATGATATCAGGACAAGGTGCAATGACTAATGACACCATGCCGTGGCAATGACCAATCAGTGGAGACCACGATCCGGTAGAGACCACGATCTGGAGGAGACACATCTGGACAGCTGATGAATATCCTCTCAGTAGTCTGCTGACAAAAGCCCTCAGGCTGCAGGATGCAGGATGCAGGATGCAGGACCCAGTGCTCTGCCCCTATGGAGCACACTACTCTCTACCCACCTCTTTCCCCAGGGCTCTCTCCCCCTCGCCCCCCTCCCCCTCCCCCTGTCTCCCCTCCCCTTCTCTCCCCCTCCCCCTTTCTCCCCCTTTTCCCCTCCCCTCTCCTCCTCACTCTCTCTTCTAAGTTTCAACAGACTTTATTTTGCTTCTGTAACTTGTTTCCTGAGCCCGTATCTTCTACGGCTCACTTCTTCTGCCTCTGCGACTTTCTAAATAAACTTGTTCTTAAAATTTGAGTCTTGGCTCCAAATTCTTCTCTTAGCCAGAACTTAAGAACTGAGGTTGCTGAACCAAGTTAACGCCTGCTGCTGTTTTTCTACCTCTAACAAAAACCACTAAAAAAGCCGCTTTTGTTGGTTGTCGTAGTTCCAGTGCCCCTCCTTCCTGAATCTCATTCTTACCCTTCACTCTCCAATTGTGCAAACGTATTTTCTCCAATTATACAAGTCGTATTGGGGTCGATCCCCTAACTGTTACATTAGAGTGTGGTAAAACCTTATGGGGATGCTTCTGAAACTTGGGGTGGGGAGGAGTCGGGACTATCAGAGGCTGGCACAGTAACTGAAGGGGGGTTCTTGTCATAGTACTAGCATTCCAAAGCTCACTGCTTTCTGCTTTCTCATTCAGCATGTTTATGAAGCTGTCTCAGACAATCGTTAAAAAGCCTTGAAGCTTTGCAGACCATTTGGACTACAGATTGGAATATTGTTGCAAAGAAACAGATTTAGTGCATCTAAATGCAAAACGAATCAACTCAGAATGAGAATTTCATATGGGTAAGCCCATTACAACTTTGACTTCTTTCATCTCTTGTATGTGGGATGTCATTAATGTTACCAGCTGCATGGTTTTCTCTGAATACCAACAGCAGAGGAAAAACCCACCCTCAACGCCATTGGCTCTCCTGTTTTCCACTGAAACAGCTCTTGGACTGCCAAGGCAAATGTGAAACAGGCTACCACAATAGCAGCAATTTCCCCAATGCCCTGTTAATTTTCAGTAAATCAAAATAAAATGTGTTATTATTTATTAAGAATAGGCACTACATACGGTTTCCAGATGATAAGTATTTCAGTAAAGTACCACACTGAGAACAATTTGAGTTGGCTTGCAGGCTGTAACCTTAGAGTAATGGGTATAGCCCAGGGTCAGAATTGTCACTTTTATTGGGTTAATTCAATGTGCATGGTTTATAGACTGTGATATAAGACCAGTGAAAAGTTTTCCGACCCCCAGTATCAGATGCATTATACGTATAATTTTATGTAAAAGAATAGTGTCTCGTATGTCATTATTTATTCATAACGACATTCACGGAGCAACTGCATGGCACAGAATGATAGTGTAGTCTGGGGCATAGAATATGGAGCACAGATCCCAAACACTGGGTCTCAGGCAACTCCTTTAATTATGTTCACTTTAAAGAAACATTGTAGAAGAACATAATGTCACAGTTGCGGAACAGAATGCCATTACTTCACAAATAGAATACGAAACTAGGAAGGCTCCCAGACCTGGGAGATGTTTCCAGCCCCTCTGAAGGCAGTTTCATATGTTAGGAATCCTTTTTTTTTTTTTTATAACACTGGCCCCTGGTAACCACCTGGGTTAAGGGGAGCCTTGATCTAACCTCTGGTTTGAAGAACCTTCCTCTCTCTGAAGAGAGGAGGGCCACATATGGCCAGGGACTCTGGGGGCTACAGGGCACTTTCTGGATCTGGCCTGCGCCAGATGTCCTGGGAGGGCTGCCTGCCTCGGCCTCCGCCTCAGCCGCATTTCCCCTTCTCTGCGCTTCCAGGTCCTCACAGCTGGGTCACTGATTTCTTGACCTAATGCTGCCCCAGCTGGGAGGCCTTCGCCTCAGATCTGTTCTCCCTGCTGGCCTTGCTGCTAGACGTTTTCCTAGGCCAGACGGGGCCTGGCGCCCTGGGAAGAGCCTGCACTGTGTCATCACCTTCCGTCCTGAGGTCACGCCCTCCTTGTTCTGCGGGCTGCATGTCTAAATTAGAATTCCAGTTTGGTTCTGGCTATGTGCCTTAAAGAAAAGGAACTTACTGTGCTTTTTAAAAATTACACATGAAATACATATTCTTTCAGGAAAATCAGAACATTCCCCCCAAGTGACACAAACTCCCACGGCCTAGTGAAAATACCACTAATGTTTTGAGGATTATTCTTCAAGAATTTTTTTTGCAGCATATTGATACAAAAACTTACTTTTCTTACAAAATGAAATTATATATATACACACATATATATAATATGTATACTATATAGGTTTTACAACCTAAATATGTGTTTTTTTCTTTTCTTGCATGAAAGTAGTTCAATATAAAAATATACTCTTCAATGTTCTTGTGAATGTTTCTTACTATTCGAATTTCCTTTATGTTTTTAAAATCCAAAATTCAAAAAGTATATATTGTGACAAATTATTGCCTTTATTTCCTCATCTATTTTTTCCAGTTCCTCTGCCTAAAGCCTTATCAGAGGCCTTTGTGACCCCAACATAATGACTGACTCACAAAGTGAGTAGAAGAATCATCCCTGGCACTTTTTGAAGTTTATTTTTCAAGTTCTAACCTCAGTTATTTTCATTCACTGATTCTGAGGCGGGGTTCTGTGTTTTTAAGAATACCTGAAGTGATTTTTCCTTAGCATTCTTCTTGTACCACGCTGTCAGCAACAATGCCCAGGAGCAGCCGGACTCCCTGAAGCCTCTTGGCTGCTACACCTGGTGGTATTCTGTCCGCAGGACGCCTCCTCCTCACACAGCAGCCTGGAGAGCTCCTAACTCACTCACAAAGTTTTCAATTCCCCATCACCAGTGAGCTTTTCTTGGGCTGAGCAGGCAGTTAAAACTGCCTTCCTTTGTGCATATTTGACACCTCTGAGCACCTCTGGTTCTACACCTGCCATCTCCTCCACTAGACTGGGAGCTTCCCGAGGGTCACAGCCACATCATTCCTGTGTATGTGCCCAGGATGGGCGATTGGCCCGGCATCTACACTAAGCAGTAGCTCCATAGTTGCCTGTTGCATCAAAGGAAGAAAAAAAGGAAGGAAGGAAGGAAGGAAGGAAGGAAGGAAGGAAGGAAGGAAGGAAGGGAGGGAGGGAGGGAGGGAGGGAGGGAGGGAGGGAGGGAGGGAGGGAGGGAGGGAGGGAGAAAGGAAAAGGACTGTCTTAGAGTGAAATAGGAGAAAGCTCCCTATAGGGAATTCTATTTGCATTAATCTTTAAAAATAGGATAGAGGACCTTCCAAAATGGAATTTATTGATAAAAATGGTCTATTTATTTTTATATGTTTAAACTTCAGTCACTTTAAAAATATTCTCCATGGGATGCAATATAAACTGCTTAAAAGTTATTGAACTTGTCAGTTTTGATGCCTTTTAGTGCTTCTGCTGTTTTTGTTTTTTTCACTTCTTTCACATCAATAAAACATTTCCTTTTGAGGGTTTTTTTCATCAGGGGAACAAAAAAAGCCACTCAGGGTAGGATTGGGTGAATAGGGAGGATGGGGTATGGGGATCATGGCATTTCGGGGCCAAAACTGCTGCACACTTAGTGCCGTGTGGGCAGGTGTGCTCACTCATCGCACATCATGAAGTGGGCAAACACACTGAGAGAGTCTTAAAAAATTCACTGAAGCTGAGTTCAGGCTGTGACAACAATGCCAGCTGGTGCACTGGTACAGGTGGGTCCCTAGAACACTCACCTAGTGGGGGAAGCCTGTACTACCAGGGGCCCACCCTCCGGAAGACAATTTTGGGGTTTTTTTGAGGGGGTAGTCCATCATAGGTACCATTTGATGAATGGCAGCTTCTTATTATAGCAGCTCTTTGAAACTTCTCAATAGTCCTTAAAACAGTGAATTTTATAATTTTAAGTTTCTCCTAAATACAGGGAGTTTACTTGTTTAAGGTCATAGAGCTCTAAAAAGCAAAGAATGTGAATCAACGTGGTCTGTACGCCAGACATGGGAGACAAGAGAAAGGACAACTTAGGTGTGTGGCACACGAGGGAAAACATGGAGTAAGAATGGCTTGTAATGATATCATGGAGTAACTCAGCTTAACTTCAGTCGTGGGCGGATACAGAGAAGTGTAGGATCTGGGGCTGGAAAGGTAGTTCAGAGATGAAGTATTGAGTTTATTTCACCAGACTCTAGGGAGGCATTACATTACTTTTTGTTAAAAATAACGAGAGAAAGTGTTTGCTCAAAACTGGAGGCAGTGTACACATTAGATTGGGAGGGGAAAAGGTAGGATGTGGGGAGACCAGGTAGGAGTTATAGCCAAAGCCCAAACAAGAAGTGTAAGCACCTAATGTAGGGCAGGGGCAGCCGAAGTGAGTACACAGGTGCACATTTTAGATCTAGAACCTGAAGCCCATAATGACTGGCTGCGTACAAACAAGGTTGCCAGTTAATTACAAGTTTCTAGTCTGGGAAAGGTGCTGTGCTTTTAACAGAAATGAGCTGAGAAACAGGTATGGGAAGAGGTGTTCTGTTGCAGGAGGAAGCAGGGTGAGAAACTAAATTTTGGATAAGATAAACTTGAGATGTCTGAGACATTGTTACAGAGCAGGTAATGGGAAAAGTGGATCAGAATTTAAGACAGACTGAACAAGTGTTCTGAGAAAAAGATAGTAAAGCTGAAGAAAATGCCAGTTTCTCATGACCTTGGATATAAAAAAGTAGAATGGGGAGTCTGCAGGAAAACTAGAATCACTGGGGAACACCATGAATCCTGTGAGGCAAGCAACAAAGCAGATTAAAAGAAAAGGCAAAACGTAGACAGAGGTGATTTAATGGAATCTTGCTCTTGGGTATGACCATAGACAGAAATTAGAGCTATTATTTCATAAATATGAGATTCATAGATGATTTTTTGCATCATATGAGAGGTTTACCTTTTAATAAGGCTG